TCCAGCTCGGGTCAGTATTCTCAATACACACATCTTCAGCCTATTCACCAAGTGTGTCCCAGGTTTGCTAAAAAGGAGCCTCGACATTCCCAAATGCAATGGAAAGCTGTTTGCTTAACCGATGGACAAAGCAACAAAATTCATAAGAAAGTTCTGTAAATAAAGATAGCACTGATGATCCTGTGCATTTGATTTGGTTCAAAATTTATCAGCTACCACAATATGTACGAGCGTGCGTGCCAAAGCATCCTATCGTATCCTAAATTTCGGTAATTATGCTTTGTTCAGGGGTAGATTTAAACGAACCCACGACCGTCTTTTTGAAGAAACTATGCTTTACTGCTCTTTGAACTGTAAACAATGTGTACTATGGATAGTATCTGACTACGAAGAGCTAGCATGTGACCATATTCAGCACACCAAAATTTATTAAGTCGATGAGTAAGCGAATCCAACTACCATTATGACGAAGTTTATAAGTACTTATTTTCCGAAAACAACCCAGCAAATTTATGGTTTGCTATTGATAGGTGAAGTTATATATATTGAGACAATCGAGCCTCTTCGTATTTTCTACATATATCAGACCAAGCAGACACAATGGGTTATTGAAAGGAGTCCACAGATGAAAGCGACGATGAAAACGATTTCTGCGTCGCCGGCGAACGCGTAGGGTACAAACAGTAATTCCAGTGTATCTATAGTGAAAAGAATTGCCTCCACATCTTGGATTAGTAGCACCAGCAACGCTCCCAAAGTGAACAAGGGACTTAAGACCTCCAAGTCAACGTCAACCCCTTGAAAATGTCCCTCTAATTTGTTTTAAGCCGTGTTGTACAGAAAAAAAATAAAGCAAAAAATTTGCAATCATTATTTCAAATAATAAAACAGTATAAAATAATATAGGAACACAGTTTAAGGATTATTGAAGCAAACTAAACATATCATATATGAATAGATTGTAGAACAAATCCTGAGGATGTATTTGACGATTGTATATTGAGTCTAATGCGGCGCGACCGTTGTCGGTAATATTTTGATGCGACACAACTGCACCAAATCGACTTTGAATGAAATTGTTTGAATTGAGGACTAAAATGGTCTCGCTTCTGAAAACGAGTCGCCATCCTGGGCAGATGCAAGCTCTAAAGACACGAAATTGACAGAAGTTTCCATTGGAGCAGTGCGCCAAGAACTTCTCACTGATATGTCACTTGATGTCATCTACGTAAAATTGGAGCGATCAGAAGTTCAAATTTTCGTGGATTGAAGTCAAATACGATATGATCATTGTTAGGTAGAGAGTAATGCGACGCGGTCATTTTTTTTACGAGCGATACAATCTTTGTCAGCTGAATAGAAAAGGGTTGAGATGATGTTCATTATTTATTTTTTCCTTTTTTTAAAAGAAGGTATCACTATCCCAACGAATATGAAGCCTGATGTACATGTAGACATATAAAACTTTATCCAAGTTGAAATGAATAATATTATCCCTATCAGTATCAGATACACTTAAAATAGGTAAGAATATAAGCAACTGTAGATAATAAGAAGTTTCACGACTCAAAGGTGAAACTGTCAGTGTGGAGTTTATTTTTATTTTTGCAGTGCGCCAAGATGTTCGTAACGTTATGACGATTGATATGGTTATCTGTATCATACGCACCATCCAAAAATCCCAAAACAAGTATTCCGCCATAGCCTATATAGGAGAATGTACAGAATCAGAGGTCTGAATGTTTGTAAATAAAAGTATACTGCGATATTTATAACTTCAGACAAAGACTAGTGCTACGCGGTCAGTGCTAAATTTATTCCACATAGAATAGGTAATAGTGTTGGAAAAACGTTTATCGCCTTTTTCTCCCTTTTAATGGACCACACCTACCAGAAAGATACACGTGAATTATTTTTTTTGAACAATTTTAGACAACAGCAAGTATCACGACGCAATGGTTGGCTGGAGTGTCCAATCGCAGCTGTGCATAACACCGATGATTCACATTCTCTGACTAATCGATTGCAGTAGATGAATATCAATCGGCTGACCCAATTAACCAATGTTGTAGTTCGTTAATTGATTGATTTCTAATTATTGTATTTCTTTGTTTTAAATATGTGCCTACTAACGACTATCCGGCAGATTTGCTAACCAAACTTCTGCCACGTCCTATAAAACATGAATAATTTTCTACCATGTTGATGACGAAAATATAGGTTCGGAAAACCTGTCTAAGGGCTTGGGATACCAAACTGAGTTTAGAATCGCAAACAAAAACTATTTTTCAAAACAAACAATACGTTATATTTATTAGCAACATAAATATAATAGAGTCAGTTCCTCTGACAAAGAGCCTTTAGTGCTTATCGAAGCTGTTTGATTTTTAGACATAGCCTACTAAGGATAATATTGTTTATTTCAAAAATGGCAAGTATGTATGATACAATGTATGAACATATGGTATGGCTCTCATAGTCGCTGTAGTGGTTCAGGAAAGATTGATGGGAAGAAGTGGTCAGTAAATTCCCGTTTGAAGCTTGGGCCAAGTGAGTCGACAATGGAAGATATGTGCTGAGTCGATTCGGGCCGTTGTTGACAAAATACTGTTACTATCGAATGTTCCATATATTCGCTTGCTGACCTACTAAGTAGAGTATCTACTTCTGTGGTACGGATCGGGTCTGCGCCGTGTAGTGCCGCGGAATGGGTTAGTGCAGAGTACGAAATGCCGAGAAGAACCAGGTTATCCGTCATAATCCGGTCGAGAAGCGAGGATGGGGGTAAGCCAATGCCGCACCAGACCACGGATGAATTCAGTATGTGTTGACTGGCCTGGATCGGAAGTATCATAGTCGGAACCAACAAGCGCGATGATTTGGTTTGAACCGATATGGGGAACATCTGTTGATGTGTCAGGGACGGGTGAGGGTACGGTGGTTCTTCAACATGCTGGAGAAAAGATCCAAGGTGTTCGTGGAGGGTCCAGATACCGTGGAAGTCGTGGCACTCCTGTAATTGCTGAAGGAGGTCAGGGCCAATGGGCGGCAGTTTCGGGCCTACCAGGATGCGCCGAATCAGTTGTTGGATGCAGGTAAAGTGGCTGGTAGTGAACTTGTGGCTACCGGGGCAGACAGGGCAGAGACAGCCGTCGGTGCGGTAGTCGAGCAATGTGAACATGTACGTATTCGTTACAATCATAGCACAGAGCCGGATTGGTGTAGACTCGAAGCAGCGATTGAAGCTGTCGTGTCTGGCTGTGTCTCGGTTTGAGGTTGGCGGTTTACCCATAACCAGTTGGTAGTAGTATTGGCGCCGGGCCATTGCCGCGATCTCTTTGTTGGACCAACGTTTTGTTGAGTTCTTCCTGATGTCGTCACAGCGTTGGCGGAGGGCTACATGGTCGGGTGTACGCCCGCCCGTGGTTTTGTGTACAGTTTTCAGGTGAGCATAGATACTGTACGGGAAGCGCAGTGATGGTTTATCGTGGGCCCAGGCGGGTTGCGTCAGAGGGGTAAGTGGATGTGCCTACTAGGCGACGTTTTATTCGTGGTCGACCCATAAAAAAGATTTTTTTCGGGCATATATATAAATGAATAAGAGGCGTTATTTATAATTTCTTGTTTAAAAAACAAAACAACAGATAACCAAATAAAACTAAAACATCATAAAGACCTTTTAATAATTTATTGCCATTTTTGAAATAAATAATATTATCCCTATTAATAAACTGATTACGTTAAGAACTACATCTACGACATCCACACTGACGCCACCTGTCATAGTCACGATCGATTTTGTTGTGGTTTCTAGATATTGAACTTGCGATCAGCAAAACTGTACATAGCGCTAACAGAATGAACTTAAGTGTATCTATCTGACGCACCAGTGTTGTCGAGGTCTACTTTTATAGCTGATTTTGAAACAAGTTGTCGTACAATTACTGTCATTTTAACAATAGTATGGGTTACGAGCAACTTGTTCGACAACCAATGGAGTCATAACATCGTCGGCTTTTTTTTCATGGGTACTTCTATATGCTGGTGTTACCGTGTGGTATATATTAAGCTGTAAACTCAAAAGTATGGTACCGGGTTTGCAAGAAGTAGTGTCTACTCCACAGTTTCTGTTGATTTTCTTCAGATGATGTTGTGTGTGTGCGGATATCTGCAGAAATAGATGTTGCCGGCCAGAAGTTCCCCTTATATTCTACTTTCAAAACCGTATGGTTTGCCAGTACACTGACTACAGCACATAGAAATTGTGTTTGGTGACGTTGCGTGAGCGGAGTGTGTGGCCAATAGTAGTTGGTGCTGTATTCAAACCATGATGGGGTTGATCAGTTGGCCAAGAATGGTTGCACGACCGAAAAGTGTTGATGAGGTGGTATTTATTTGTATTTATATCGAGATGCCGCTTATCAGCTGAATCTATAAATAACTCCGTGTTTGAATTTTGGAAAGCCAGAATTCAATAGAATTCTAAATATGTGGTGAAAGCTTTGGAGCTTTGGAAGGCACATTCCCGTTCTAAATTTTCAAATTTAGGGATTGATAATATCTCAGATCTCAATTTCTTTGTGGCGCTAAAAGTCCCGAAAATGGAAAAGTCGCAAACATCGCAAAAAATCCCAAGAATCATTTTATCATATTTATTCAGCTCTCCATCTACAAAGCTAGTTGAATACACACCTTATAGTACATTCCATGCACACACCCTTTATCATCTCCGTTGTATCATCCCATCCACATACATAGACACGAGCTGATAATTGCTGTTCCTTGCGGATGTGATAGATCAAGGCCATCGCGCTTGTATGTGATTAACGAATGTTTGAAGACCAGCATACCCGCTCCCTGAATGAGCAGAGGATAGTGATGCATTCGCTCTAACACTAAAGTGTTACACGGTTTGCTCGGTCCGGTCTAGATAAAGTTATACAACGCCAATCTCAACTGAATAATAACTGAGAAGTGCACGTTTAGCACCGTTGTTTCCGATGACCTCACCACTCAAAAAATCCAGCGAGATCAATGCCGTGGAGAATGTTGGTAGTTTTAAAGACACGCCCCTGGCCGATGCGCCACACAAAGTGCACACACAGGCATCAAGCACGCCCGTATCTACAGTAGTAGCGAATTGCGGTGCAGAAGATACAGTGGTTACTCCAACAGACGCCAGGTTAAGAAATAGACCGGAAATGATCAAGAACGAGGCAATAGGTAAACCAAGTAATTCAAACAGCTCCGCACCACGCCCTGCCGGCTATAGTAGTGGCTATGATACAGATGTGGGCCAGTCCGAGGGTTTAAATACGGCTAGCACGAACAGTGCCGCATCACTGAGGAGTGATGGTTTGGTGAAAATGACGAGCTCGGGCATGTTTGTCGACGAGTTGTTTAAAAAAGCAGATGCTGACGGTCGACTAACCTCGTATGTTTGGTATATTTGTGCAGGGAACCAATGAGAGACACACGCTTTTTGAATATGTATGGGGGCCTGAACGCGTTGTTAAGTGACTTGAGTCACAACCAAAGTTGCGCTAGTACATACACAGAAATGTCCATTCTAGTAGTTCACGACATGTGGTTCGTAAGCGTGTTCCGCCTTAGCGCCATTTGTATGAATCGCATATCGCTGTGTTTGCAAGTTCGCGAGTTTTACAAGACTGAATGCCATTGAGGGATCTGCACAGTTCAGCGTGTTTTTCCAATTACATTATACTATCGTCAGCAGTTTTCAGTTCAAGAACAGACAGATTTTCAACAATAGATATACATATTCATGTTTATATATATATATATAGATATATATATATATATATATATATATAATAGTACATATATATATATATATATATATATATATTAT